CACCACCGTCTTGGCCACCCCTCTCTGCTTCGGCTCAGAGGCATGGCCTCCCGTCTTCTTGTGTCTGGTCTCCCCTGATCTCTACCTCCCCTTCCTCATGGCCCTGGCCCTGCCTGTATCCCCTGTGTCAAGGGGCGCCAGCGTGCTGCCCCTCACTCCTCCCAGTTTCCTCCGACAGAGGCTCCGTTGCAGACGCTTCACATGGACGTGTGGGGCCCTGCCCGCATCCGTGGACTCGGTCACAAGCGCTACTTCTTGCTGGTGGTTCACGACTACTCGCGTTACACCACAGTCTTCCCCTTGCGCAGCAAGGGTGATGTCACTGAGGTGCTGATCGACTGGATCCGCGCAGCTCGTCTCCAGCTCAGGCAGAGCTTTGGCTCGGACTTTCCTGTGTTGCGTCTGCACTCGGACAGAGGCGGAGAGTTCTCCTCTGGCCTTCTGCGTGCCTACTGTCGTGCGCGAGGCATCCGCCAGACCTTCACGCTTCCGGACTCCCCGCAGCAAAATGGGATTGCAGAGCGCCGCATTGGCATGGTCATGGACGTCGCTCGTACATCCATGATGCATGCGGCTGCCCCCCATTTTCTGTGGCCGTTTGCGGTCAGGTACGCAGCGAATCAGATCAACCTCCACCCCAGGGTCTCTAGGCCAGAGACCTCCCCAGCGCTGCTATGGACGGGGAAGGTTGGCGATGCGTCGGCGTTCCGGGTCTGGGGATCTCGGGCGTTTGTCCGCGACTTGTCTGGGGACAAGCTGTCCCCTCGCGCTGCTCCCTGCGTCTTCCTGGGGTTCCCCCCCGACACCCCTGGGTGGCAGTTCTACCACCCCACCTCTCGACGTGTTCTGTCCTCCCAGGACGTCACGTTCGACGTGTCGGTACCCTACTACCGCCTCTTCCCCTACCGCACTCCGTCCCTCCCCCCGCCCCCGCTCTTCTTGGTACCAGGTCCCCCCCCGGTCGACCCCCTCCCCCCTTAGGGTCCTGCCCCTTCAGGTGTGTCCCAGGTAGACGCGGTCGAGCCTGTCGAGGTCACTGGTGACTGTGGTGCTGCTGCGGGAGCTGAGCCTGGGGGTGCTGAGACTGGGAGTGCTACGCCTGCGGGTGCTGAGCCTGGGGGTGCGGAGTCTGGAGGTGCTGAGCCTGGGGGTGCTGAGCCTGAGGGTGCTGAGCCTGGGGGTGCTGTGCCTGGGGGTACTGAGCCAGGGTGTGCTGAGCCTGGGGGTACTGAGCCTGGGGGTGCTGAGCCTGGGGGTGCTGAGACTGGGGGTGCTGAGACTGGGGGTGCTCCGCCTGGAGGTGCTTCGTCTCGCCGAGAGCCACTCTCCCCTCAGGAGCTACGTGAGTGGTTTGCCAGGCGCTCGAGGCGTGCTGCTGGTGCTGGAGGTTCTTCGGCTGCAGAGGGTACTGCTGCCGAGCGTCCCGGCGGTGCTCGTACTGTGGGTGCAAGAGCTGCTGGGTCTGAGGATTCTCCTGGAGCTGGTGCTGCTGAGGGTGTTGACGCTGAGACGGCCGCTGGAGGTCCGACTGGTGGTGCTCCCGGTGGTGCTGCTGGAGGTTCTAGAGCTACTGGAGGTGCTGCTGGAGCGGGTACTCCTGCTGGGGGTACTGGTGCTGTCCCTGCTGTTTCTGGCGTCGCCGCGCGGCCCCGGCCGTACTTCGTTCCGCTCCTGCAGCAGGTTCTTGGTCTTCCACCTTCTCCTGGTCCTCCTCCTCCCTTAGAGGGTCCACAGCCTGTCTCGTCACAGTCACAGCTACAGCCTGCCTCACCTTTGCCTGCTCCTTCTCCCTACGCTGGTCCGACTGGAGGTCTTACTGAGCGTCGTGAGCCTGCGTCTCGTCCTGCGTCGCCTGTTCGTACTGCGCGCACTAGTGGTCGTGGTTCGCGTCAGCGTCCTCCTCCTGTCCCTGGCATGCACCGGATGTCTCTGCGTCCGTCTACTGCTCCTCTGCGTGCCCCTTTGCCTTCTCCTCCTGCTTCCTCTCTTCCTGCTCTTGCCGACCCGGAGTCGGACTCTCTTCGTGCTGCCAGTCCTACTGTCACGCGTCTTCTTGCTACTGCTGTCACTGACCCTTCTTTCGAGTCTTCTACTGCGTCTGCCCTTGTCACTGAGCTCGTCGACTTTGCTGCACGCTGTCGTCTAGACTATGCTGCTAGTCTTGTCGCTGAGTCTGAGTATGCCTGTCCTCCGTCCGTCGGGGGTGAGTGTGCCCTTGGCACGGACGTCCTTGAGGACAAGCAGGAGGAGTTCCAGTGTCTGGCCGCCGCTTCACCTCATCTCGTGTCTGTACTGCTAGCCCCTGAGGGAGACCCGGATGCACTTGACATTCCGACTCCGCGCTCTTACGCGGAGGCGATAGAGGGTCCCTACTCCTCTCAGTGGCAGGCAGCTATGGATGCAGAGATGGCTTCCTGGAAGTCCACAGGCACCTACGTCGACGCTGTTCCCCCTCCTGGGGCGAACATCGTCAGTGGCATGTGGATTTTCGGGGTGAAGCAGCCGCCGGGTTCTCCGCCTGTCTTCAAGGCGCGTTACGTGGCTCGTGGCTTCAGTCAGCGGCAGGCGGTTGACTACTTTCAGACCTTCTCCCCCACCCCGAAGATGACCACTCTTCGGGTACTGCTGCACGTTGCTGCTCACCGTGACTACGAGCTGCACTCTCTCGACTTCAGCACGGCTTTCTTGCAGGGCAGCCTGCACGAGGAGATCTGGCTGCGTCGCCCACCTGGCTTCACTGGGTCTTTCCCTCCTGGTACCCAGTGGAGTCTCCGGCGTCCAGTCTACGGTCTCCGCCAGGCGCCACGTGAGTGGCACGACACACTGAGGACTACGCTTGCGGCACTTGGGTTTGCTCCTTCTACTGCCGACCCGTCGCTGTTTCTGCCCACCGACACCTCTCTGCCGCCGCTCTACATCCTCGTGTACGTCGTCGACTTGGTCTTTGCCACAGCGGACACTGCTGGACTCGCTTACGTGAAGTCCGAGCTGCAGAAGAGACACACGTGCACTGACCTGGGTGAACTGCGCAGCTTCCTTGGCTTGCAGATCACCCGGGACAGAGCACGCCGCACCATTACCCTGACTCAGTCATACATGGTGCAGCAGGTCCTTCAGCGCTTCGGCTTCACGTACTCCTCGCCTCAGGCCACTTCTCTGCCTACTCGCCACTCGCTCTCAGCTCTGCCTTCGCATGAGTCCGTAGAGTCGAGTGGCCCGTATGCAGAGCTTGTTGGCTGCCTCATGTACCTGATGACCTGCACACGACCTGACCTTGCATACCCTCTCAGCATTCTCGCACGCTATGTTTCTCCTGGGAGACACCGACCAGAGCACATGGCTGCAGCGAAGAGGGTGTTGCGCTACTTGTGCAGTACGTCGGGCATGGGGCTAGTGCTTGGAGGGCGCAGTCCAGTGGTCCTCACTGGTCACGCGGACGCTTCTTGGGCTGACGACCAGGCTACGCAGCGGTCGTCATAGGGTTACACCTTCGGCCTTGGTTCCGGCTCTGTCTCGTGGCGGGCTACTCGCTCGTCTTCTGTTCTCGGCTCCAGTTGTGAGGCTGAGATCTACGCCGGGGCTATGGCTGCTCAGGAGCTTCGCTGGCTCACCTACCTGCTGACCGACCTTGGAGAGCCGCCTCGTTCTCCTCCAGTCCTGTACGTAGACAACAAGGCCATGCTGGCCTTGTGTCGAGAGCAGCGCGTGGAGCACAGGACAAAGCACATTGCTCTCCGCTACTTTCTTGCTCGTGAGCTGCAGCAGCGTGGACAGTTGCGACTTGCGTACGTGGCCTCTGAGGCCAACACTGCTGATGTCTTCACCAAGGCACTTGCGCCTTGTGATCATCAGCGTTGCTGCACGCAGCTGGGTCTTGTGCGTATCTTGCCTCACTTGCTCACTTCTTGACCTTGCTTGTACCTTGACCTATATATACTCTTGCTCTTGCTTGCTTGACTCTTGTATATCTCTATATATGATCTTGCATGCGAACTGGCCTTGTGGCCCTTGACCTTGCGCTCGGAATGTGTGGTGACTTTGTGATCCACCCTGAGCTTTGCTTTGCTTTGCTTGATTGGTCTTGTGACCCCTTGTTCTCCCCCACTTTGCCTATGGGGGTGTGTCAGAACTTTATAGCTTACTTATTTGTGTAGGCTATAGTGGGGTATCCCATAGGGGGTACTACCCAATTAGGGTTTCATATTTGTACTCACTTCATTCATAGTTGATTCATTCTCGTTCAGTTTTTCACAGAAGACGCAGCGCCGAGCGACTCAAAACCAACAAGGTCGGCTGCACCAGCAGAGGCAACAGAGGGCAAAAGGGGGGAGGGGGAACATCCCTCAAAGACGGGGGTGCGAGGGTCACCACGAGAGGCTCCTACAGCGACTATGCACTTCTCCTCTGCTAAGAGGGCCTTCTCGAGGAGGTCAACTGTGAGAGTGGTGGGGCAAACGGAGAGGAAGTGGTCCCTGACTACGCGAAGGGAGTCAGGGAGCCGGGTGACTATGTAGTAGAGGGTGATGTACATGGGGGGGGGGTTCTTGGCGCAGAACTCAGCAGGAAGCGCAGCGCGGTAGCGAGTGTCACTAGTGCGGAGGTGCGTAATGAGGTCAGCGACTGTGGGAAAGGCAGCAAGGTCAGGGAAGAGGTACGGTAGCATGAGGCGGCTCAGTGCAGCAGTGGCAGGGGAGGAGTAGCGTGCAACTACAGCGTCGTACAAGGTCTGAGCACTCTTGTACTGGCTAAAGTGCGCACGCTCAGCAGTAGGCAAGTGGCGGCGCACAGCAAGGCGGGCAGCAGCATCGCGTGTGGCCCACTGTGAGCGAATAGTGGGGTCAGCATCAGCAGCAGGGGCAGGGGAGGCACCAGAAGTGAGGTCAAACAGGGAGAGACCGTCTGCCCTATCGCACTGGAGGAACAGCTGCAGATCATCTACCCAGACCTTTAAGTAAACAGCCCGACCCTCAGCGTCAAAGGTGAGAACGCTGGGGGTAGCCATGATAGCAGTAGACCAGCAGAGAGAGGAGCAGGGTAGGGCAGTGCAGTGGCAGAAGCGCTGTTCTTACCAGACAGGGGGAACGGGCCGAGGTAGTGACTGCGGCGGCTCGGCTGCAGGGCAGCTCGGTGGCTCGGCTGTTGGGCGGCTCGGTGGCTCGGCTGCTGGGCGGCTCGGCGGCTCGGCTGCTGGGCTGCTGGGCGGCTCGGCGGCTCGGCTGCTGGGTGGCTCGGTTGCTCGGCTGCTGGGCGGCTCGGCTGCTGGGCAGCTCGGCGGCTCGGTTGTTGGGCGGCTCGGCTGCTGGGCGGCTCGGCTGCTGGGCGGCTCGGCGGCTGGTGTGGCTGGTGACGATCGCGGCAGTAGTTGTAGGAGCTGTGGTGACTGCTGCTGCAGAGACGGCAGCGGCTGCTGCCTCAGGGACGGCGGCGGCCGGCCGCTAGGGGCTGCGAAGGGCGGCGGAGGGGCTGTGAAGGGCGGCACGAGGGGCCGCCAAGGGCGGCGACGGGCCGTGAGGAGGCCGCGGAAGGCAGCTCGAGAGGCCGCGAGGGGGGCCGTAAGGGGCCGACGGGCGGCGGGAGGGGCCGTAAGGGGCCACGGAAGGGCCCGTAAGGGTAGCGTGAGGGGTCGTAAGGGGCCGTAAGGGCGGCGCGACGGGCCGTAAGGGCGGCGCGACGGGCCTTAAGGGCGGCGCGACGGGCCTTTAGGGCGGCGCGACAGGCCGTAAGGGCGGCGCGACGGGCCGTAAGGGCGACGCTAGGGAGCCGTGAGAGGGCCGCTAAGGGCGACGCGACGGGGCCGTGAGGGGCCTAGCGAGGGCGCGACGGTAGGGAGAGCACACGGGGCGCGACTGAGGCTGGAGCGAAGCGCGCTCCGGGCAGGAAAAAAAAGAATTTCGTGGTGGTGGGCCCTAGGAATCGTTCCCACTAGGGAACCTGCTCGATACCATGAGAAGAAACGAGGAATGAAAATGACTAAGGCAAAGTTGGGTACAAGCACAAACCCTAGAAAGCTGTACCCCATATGTGCTTCCCCACTATAGCCTAGAGTAGCTATGTCATATATATGTGACACTGTCTTGTTCCCGCCAAAATGTTTTTCCATCCGGATCTCCCTCGTCGCACGTTTTCGTGCTACACCTGCACGACGGTTGCCTGGCGTTGGTTTCCGTTGGAACTGGGTTTTATGACCACCTGCTCACCATCCCGAAGTCACTAGTTATATTCCTAGCATATTTTAGCTGGCAACAGTAGGTGTTTGTGGCCAAGGTAGGTATCGCGCTCGACCCTCCAGGAATGCGTAAGACTGTCGCGTAGCATAGTATCGTAAGAATTTCCCCTCCGCAGGCTTTCGTTACCTTTCCGCATGGGCTAGTTTCCTATATCGCGCCTTCGCCATCGCGCTTTCGTCCGATGTCCGTTCCCCTCCCATCACCTTCGCGGGTCTCTCTCCTCCCCCCCCGTCGCCTTCTATCTTCCCTCCCTCCCCGTCACCCTCGCTCTCCCCTTCCTTCCTGTCGACAAGTTTTCTCCCTGTCGCCTTCGCCCTCCCTGTCGCCTGACCCATGACCACCTGCTCACCATCCCTCCCGTCGACTGCGCGCTCTCCCTCCCGTCGCCTTCGCGCTCTCTCCCTCGTGGCCTTCTCGCTCTCCGTCCCATCGCATGGGCGCTCTCCCTCCCGTCGCCCTTGCAATTTCCCCTCTCTTCCCGTCGCCCACTTCATCTCCTATCGCTCACGTCCTCCCTTCCCATCGGCATCGCACTCACGTTCCTCCCTCCACTCGACATCGCCCTCACGTCCTCCCGTCCCGTCGTTCGCCTCCTCTCTCCCATCCCGTCGTTCACCTCTTCTCCCCTCCCACCCCATCGTTCGCTTCCTCTCCCCTCCCATCCCGTTGTTCGCCTCCTCTCCCCTCCCATCCCGTCGTTCCTCCTCTCTCCCCTTTCTTCCCGTCGCTTTTGCACTCTCCCCTCCCATCCGCTGGTTATTACCTTGCCAAACTTATTTTCTCCACCCTTGTTTTTTAACTTCTTTCAGCCCCAAGTCCAAGGATACGTATTTTTGCGCAGCTCTGCTCTCATCTCTTGCATATGGGTGTGTGCTAGATTTTCCCTGTGTTGTTGATTGATGTGAGTTTTGGTGAAGTCACATGAGCGCTCGAGTGAGTACAGGCATTCCAACCCCTTGCGCCAAATTTGCACACAAGTATGTGTGAGTTGTGTGTGAGTTTCGATGCCAGTCAGAAATGTACACATGGTCAAAATGTTCTCCGTTCACAATGAGACTCGTATGGAGCGGAAAAAAAAAAAGCACAGCACTTCCAACTTTCCGAAGTGTTCCAAAAAAGACTCTGTTTTCAAGTGGACCCAACTAGAAGGGGGGGGTCACTATTTTAGCTGCTGGCTTTGAAGCCGGCAGCCCAAATTGCACAGCTGCAGCAGTATACATTTGGCAGCACTGTTGGAGTGATTACAGTGCCCAAAACGATTTCGCCCCAGCGAAAGTGAAACAGCTTGGCGAGAGTGTTGGCGAAAATTTCGAGCCCCTCCACCACTTCGGGGGAATTGTGTGTGTACAAAATAGATGCACCACTTGTCTCCAAACTCCAAGTATTGGTGCTATGGTATCACTAGTGCAAAATAGGTTCTAGGGTACCCCAAGACTCGCACTTAGAGAAGTGCTGGGCCGGCAGGCGCGACGCTGCATCCATATGTGTACGTCCCGCCCGCCTCCCGCGCACTCACTTCCCCCAGCGCGCATTCGCTCCCCTTGCGCACACTCGCTCCCTCAGCGCTCACTCGCTCCCCGCACTCGCTCCCCAGCGCGCATTCGCTCAATCCCCTCGTGCTCACTCGCTCCCGCGCGCACTAGCTCCCTCCGCGCGCACTCGATCCCCTAGCGTGCATTCGCTCCCCCCGCTCTCACACGCCCACCGCGTTCACTCACTCCCTCCACACGCACTCACTCCCCCAGCGCGCATTCACTTCCGTCGCGCGCACTTGCCCCCCCCCCCGCGCTCACTTGCCCCCCCCCCGCGCGCACTTGCTCCCTCCGCGCGCACTCGCTCCCTCCGCGCGCACTCGCTATCTCCGCGCGCACTCGCTCCCTCCGCGCTCACTTGCCCCCCCCCAGCTCACTCGCTCCCCTTGTGCTCACTCGCCTCCCCCGCGCTCACTCGCTCTCCCCGCGCTCACTCGCTCCCCCCCCCGCGCACTCACTCCCCCAGCGCGCATTCGCTCCCCCCGCTCTCACACGCTCCCCCCCCCGTGCACTCGCTCATCCTCTCCCAAACGCTTAGGTCTCCTCCTTCCCCTCTTACTATCTCCTCCACCGCCTCTCCCCCCTTCTAACCGCTCGTCTTTCCCTCCCTGCATCCCCTCCTTTCCCTCTCTGCATCCCCTCCTTTCCCTCCCTGCATCCCCTCCTTTCCCTCCCTGCATCCCCTCCTTTCCCTCCCTGCATCCCCTCCTTTCCCTCCCTGCATCCCCTCCTTTCCCTCCCTGCATCTCCTCCTTTCCCTCCCTGCATCCCCTCCTTTTCCTCCCTGCATCCCCTCCGTACCCTCCCTGCATCCCCCCTGCTACCTATCGTATGCGTTGCCAGTGGTGCAGGCACTGGCAGGGCGTGTGGTGCGGCGAGTGCGGGCGGTGGTAGGGCGTGTGCCCACCAGGGACCTGGCTGCTCAGGTGGGTAATACGGTCATTCCCCCCTCCCCCGTAGACGCTGGCGTATGTGCTGCCAGTGATGCAGGCTTTGGTGGGGCACGTGGTGTGATGAGTCAGAGTGGTGGTTGTGTTGCCCACTCGAGACCTAGTTGTGTTATGGCGATTCTGTGCGCACATATGCACACACATATTGCTGCCGTGCCCTTACACTCCCTTACTCGCAGACAAAGCCGAGTTTCAACCGTCAACCCTCCTCTCCCACCCTTGCCCCGCAACTTAACTTGTCTTTCTGTCCAATATATAATCCTGCTCTCCCCTTCTTCCTCTCTCACCTTCCTTGCCCCCCACCGTGCCATTCTGCCTACTACTGCAGGTGGAGCACGTGTTTGACACCATAGCGCTGGCTGTCGGCCTTGCAATGGCTCTCGTCATCGAATCATACCGTCATACCCCGGATATAAGCGCCACCCGCGGATAAGCGCCTGGCGCTTTTAATTGGCGTGTGGCGCTTATATCCGGTGCTCGATTATAAGCGCATACCTAAAAGGCTTACAGATTATAACCGCATACCTATACCGACACATTATAACCGCCACCCTGGTTTTTTGTTATTTTTTTAATTTGAACACATTTTATACATTTAATCTACTATCATATCATGTTAGCTGATCTACAACTAGTTTATCTTCTTCTAGTTAATCTAATTTTACCTACGAGCCTCACACAGGCTTCACCATTTTCTAGAATTCTACCCTACTCTAATCATCAGCTACAGTGGGGTCATCTGGGTCGGCCTCAGAGTCCGACTCAGGTTCCTCTACGTTGTTGCAGAAGAAACCGTCTGCTGCAATTTCATTATCCATGTCAACCTCCTCGCCCTCGAGCTCGTCTCGCCTGTGTTGCAGGCAGAGCTTGTCCTGGGACCCATCCAGGGCGTTGCTGATGCCGCAGGTGAGGAATGCCCGTTGAATGAGCTCCTTGGGCACGGACTTCCAGGCCGCCAAAATCCACTTGAGCGTCAGCTCGACAGGAGGCTTCTTGATGTTGCCTGCCACGCAAATCCAGAAACCGGGTCAGCACGGGTTAAAGATAAAACCATAAACAGAAAGGCTGCACCTCTCACCTTTCTTCGTCAAGGTGTCGACCCCCTCACGCTCAAACCACTCCTGGTAGAGCTGGCGAACGGCGGCTTTGAAGGAGCGGTTAACCGCGACATCGAGGGGTTGAATCTCCGAGGTGCACCCAGCAGGGATAACCGCAGGGACCAAGTTGAGCTCGCCAAACTTCTTCTTCACCTCCGGGGTCAGGTGCCCGCGGTACGAATCGAGTGTTGGGAACAATAAGTCTTAAGGCGCCTCTGTCGTGTCGAAGCTCAGGACTCAAAACGAAGCAGTCCAAATCGAAGCATCGCGAGTCAACCCTCGGAGGTTGGGGTAACCGCCTGGAGGTTACGCGAAGGTCAAAGGTCAGCGACCTTTGACTTGACCAATACAGCGCGACAGCAAGGACACACAACTGACTCGACATTGAGCAGTTGCCCGAGTCGCACTGTATCGAATCGCAACAGTAAAACGGTTTAAATCTATCTATTCGTATTCCTTGTACTGTTATATAAACCTTGTATTTGCTTGTTCAATACAGCTTACTTTGCCCTCACATACCAGCGCAAGGTGGTTCAAGATCTTGTATTACAACGCTTCCGCCAATACAATCCTACTCAGTCCTTAAACTCTACAAAGATCCTAGGGCTTCTCAGCCCAACATGGTATGAGAGCAGTTAGAGTTTAAGATCATTTTCTCTCTTAATACTTAAATACAAAGAAAGAAGACATGTCTGCAAGGAAGGAGAGGAGCTCCTCCAACGGCTCCCCAGGCACTACTCCTACTCCACCTCCTGCCTCTGGCCTACAGACAGAGGAAGGCACTACCGCAAGACCAGCAGCTGGGTCCACGGAAACACCAGCAGGCTTCGATTCAAACATGATGGAGAAATTTTTCTCCTTCATGTCCTTCTACGAGCAACACCAGCAAGGAGTGCCTGCGCAGTCAAACAACAGCAACCACAACAACAATGTTACTCCGATGAGCCTCGACGGCTCATCCTATGCACGCGGGATGCAACAACAACAACATCAGCCTACCTTTGCGCCGTACGAGCCCCAACGTGGCTCCGTCAGCTTCATGCCGCAACCGCAACCTGCATCGGGACAAGAAAAGACATTGGACGCGTTACAAGTCCAGTCGCAATTCGCGCATGTTCTCAAGTTGCAAACGACAAAGCCTTTCGACGGGAAAGACTTCTTCACCTGGTCGTTCGAGTTCGAATTGATGATGGAAGGAGCACAGATTCTTGGCTTCTTCGACGGGTCCCTGCCATATCCGACAAACGGGACACAATATGAGAAGCAGCAGTATACATATCAATCAATGATGGCGTACACGATTCTGCTGAGGAACATCACCCCAACCCAGCAGCAGAACGTCAGGACTTACCGAGGCTACGGCAACTCCGCGGAGCTCGCGTACAACCATCTGAAGAACCTGTCTCAAGCAACAGACAGCGTAAACCAAAGCAGGTTAATGGCGCAGTTGACAACGATTGAAATGAAACCAGGCGAGAAAGGCATGGCTTATATCACCCGCTGTCGCGAACTGCGCGACAGGCTCCTTCGATGCGGAGGGTCAATCTCCGAAGACGCCTTTGTCACGGTAGTCATTGGCGGTCTTGGCCCCCACTGGCGCTCCACTCGCGCCATACTCCGAGCACACGGGAGGATCTCCGAAGCGGCACTCTGCGCCGAAATCCACGCTGAACAATAGGATATGGACCTGCAAGAAGAAAGGCACAAGAAGAAAACATTAGCATCAGAGTTTGCGTTTCACACTCAGCGACGATACAACAATCGACAACAGCAACAAGTGAAGACGGTACCTCCGTTCTGCCACATCTGCAAAACCTCAAAGTGAACCGTCCGGTCAAGACACCTGGTTCTTGGACAGTTGCTGCGGACAACACATGTGTTCTTCCGGGCGCTTCGTTCAACGCGAGCATCGACTCCAGCGAGAAGTAGTCATCACGGTCGCCAACAATCAAAACCTGCGCACACGAAGACAAGGAGTGGTTCAGCTTCAGTCACGAGAAACAAACGTCATACTACACATGTCAAAGGTACTTATCGCAGAGGGACTCGGCTACAACTTACTGAGTGTTAGCCAGTTGATGGCGAAAGGAATACACTTGGAAGCTGACAGCACCACCCAGGAGTTCAAGTTGTACCACGGGAAGGGCAGTCTTTACATCGGAAAGGCGGTGTTGAAAAACAATGTCTTCGTCCTCGACTTTGTCCCCGACTTGGGCACTGCCGACAGCGACGCCATCGTCAACTTCACCGATTGGACGCATCCCCCAGATCTCGATCCCGACTTCAGCCCGGGAGGTTTCTGGTACTCACACACCATTCCTGAAGCAGAACGAACACGTGCATTAGCAACAATTCGACAATCGGCAGCAGCAGAGACAACATCGGCAGCAGCAGAGACAACGTCGGCAGCAGCAGAGAAAACATTGGCAGCAGCAGAGACAACGTCGACAGCAGCAGAGACAACATCGACAGCAGCAGAGACAACATCGACAGCAGCAGAAACATCATCGGCAGCAGCAGGACCAACTACACCAGTCATCGTCGAAGAAGAACCTCCAACACCCGCACAGCAACTGAACCCGACTCAACGAGAAGTTCACAGAAGCGCCAATCTCGTCGCCAGCTTCTACTCCAACTCCAACGCATATCAACGTTCACCCGGACACCGCGCCTCCGAAGACATCTGGCACGCACGCACAGGACATCCAAGTAACACGGTGTTAAATAATACGATACGAGCAGGAGTGCTAGACAAAGACTCGCTACTACTACTCGACGGCAGAGAACTTCAACGTGCACGAGGGACTTGCCTCATCTGCCCCGAGGCCGACTTACCACATCGACCTTTTTCTTCTCACCACAACCCGAGCGCACCTGCATACGCACCACTCGAAAAAGTCTACAGCGACATCCTCTACAATCGAGAACCAGGCCAAGTAACCTATAATTACACAATTACCTTCATCGACGCCGCCACTCGATACGTCTGGTATCGCAACCTACCCAGCCGCGACATGGCACTCGCAGCATTCGCCGCTTGGTTACCGGTAGCAGAAAGGGAATCAGGAACGCAGCTGAAAAGCTTCCAGTCAGACGGAGGTGGCGAATACACCTCTCAGCGCTTCAAGCAGTACCTGGCGGAAAGGGGGATCAAGCAACTCCTCTCCCTTCCCTACGCACATCAGCAGCAGGGTGTTGCAAAAAGAATGAACAGGACCCTGCAGAGCAGCATGCGCAAACTACTACGTGGCATGCGGCTACCCAACCACCAGTGGCCAGCAGCAATGGACCATGCTGTCATGCTGCACAACTTGCTTTCGTCGTCGTCACTCCCGAACAATGCATCACCACATCTGCTGTGGACAGGAAAGCAGGGCAGCACAAAAATGTTACGAGTATTTGGGTGCATGGTACAGTACCGACCCCCAGAAGCACGAGCGGGAAGATTTTCGCAACGGGCACAGTGGGGACTACACCTTGGCATCGAGAAAAATTACAACGCGTGGAGAATCTTCGACGTCCACACAAAAGAAACAGTAGCAGCACGTGATGTGATCTTCTACGAACGACTCACCCTTCAGACGTACCTCGCCAACTTGCACGAGAATCGGGACCCCACAGGTGGCTTTTGTGGTGACCGAGCCTTCGCCTCAGTAGCGGACGAAGCAGACTGGGATGAACAGAACGTCGACAACGCATCGGAGGAAGCTGGACCTCTCCCGTACTGCTCCGTCGATGTGCCCATGGATGAAGATAATCCTCGCGACAGTAACAACGCCGAAGTCTTCTACCACTTCGCCGACAACGGTTACGTAACACCTGCGACAATCAACACCAACGAAGCAGAAAGGATAGGGCCAAATTTCATCCCCGACCCAGAAGCGGGA